GTAAAAATGCTTAGGCTAGTGTTTAAAATAATATTGGAGTTGTTGTATTTTAATAATTTGATCCACAAATAGTTAAGGTGTAAGAAATCAATTAAGAAACAAGAACCTAAGTACTTATCCTTTGGGCTTGGCCTTGGGTTTTCAAAGCAGATGTGTTCGGGTTGAGGCACAAAATCTTACAACAAGAAATGTTCAGATAGGTTGTAACTCTAATGCCTGCTTGTTGTAACATCATGGCAGTCCATTGCCTCCCCAGCCATTTTACATTTCTTCTTTCTCAACCAATTCCAGATCATAATTAAATCTTCAGTTAAGCACTAATCAGGTTTAGATTTGGAATGCAAAGTTATATCTCACTATGTTTATGTGGTTCTGATCTTTCTCTTATCTGTCACATATTCAGTATAAACACTGTCTACTACATGGCACCTTTTGCAACCATGATCTTGGGAGTGCCAGCAATGTTATTAGAAGGTAATGGGATTATGGACTGGCTTCAGACTCACCCCTATCCCTGGTCGGCCCTGATTATTATTTTCAGCTCGGGAGTGCTGGCCTTTTGCCTTAACTTCTCCATTTTTTATGTGATCCACTCCACAACTGCTGTTACATTTAATGTTGCTGGAAACCTTAAGGTGAGATTCATTAAGGACTTTGATTCCTACCATTGTGTCATGTTCTAACTTATTTTTTTAGTTAAAGGATGTTAACATCAATGTTGTCATCGCTGTTGTTAGTTGATGTATGCGAGGGCCTAAATTTTTGTTTAGTCTAGAGGCATTGATTTTTAGACAAATTCATCTTTAAATGTTTTTGCCTCCCTTTTACATTATGAACTTGACATGAATTTGAAATCTCAGATACATCATGTTTCCTCTTTGATATGCATTTGCTTGTTTCAATAATTGGAACTCATTTTCTTTCTCTTTTGCTAATATTGTTGCATCTCCCTCTGTAACAGCCTTTTATTGAACTCCCTTTATGCAAACCATGTCACGAATTGTCATCATTGCAACAATGCAACTATGGTATTCATGATTCGTGTCTGTAAATACAGGTAGCAGTAGCTGTGTTGGTTTCATGGCTGATATTCAAGAACCCTATTTCAGCTTTAAATGCCATTGGCTGTGGTATTACGCTGGTCGGATGTACATTCTATGGTTATGTTAGGAACATGCTTTCCCAACAGGCACCAGGAACTCCTCGGACGCCCAGGACACCAAGGGGTCGAGTAGAACTACTTCCCCTTGTAAATAATGAGAAATTAGATGATAAGATCTAGTTGAAATTGCATTCATCAGGTTCCTGGTTGTTGGGAGGAAGAGATCAAGCATGGAGAAAGGGAAAATCAGGACAGAAGAAATGATCGCTCGTCACAACTCACAAGGAACCTCCATTGGATTACTACTCAGAATTTTGTTACTATAATATCTGTTCTTGCTTAGAAATTGGAAAAAAAAAAAAAAGAAAAGAAAAGAAGAGAAGAGGAAGATGATTAGAGTTCTTACATTTAACTGCACTTGCCTTTATAAAGGCCCAGAAAGGATCCATTGCTGCTTTGTCCTGAGGATCTGTAGTTTGTTTTATTTGAAGGGTTCATATACAGTATGATTCAATGATGCTATCTTTTGCTGGGAATGTAGCTTATATTTTCTTACAAAATATGCCGATTTGCAGTTTATTTATTCATGTTGGAAGTTTTACAATAGAAAGGCAGTAATCTCAATTTTACATTTCTAATTATCAAATGATAGATAGAGGCGATACAGGGTGATCAAGTCTAGTTAGTGGATTATATAATTATTATACAGAAGGTGAAGAGCTAATATTATTACAGAATGCAGATGGGTTGTAGAACTAAGCCAGGAGCCAGAAGTTCTTCTGCCATCTGGTGCTGATAAGGTACCCACCAACACCACTGCTCTGCTTTCTTACCCCAACGGTCAAGCAGTCTGCATTGTTGATGCACTGATCCACAAACTCGTTAGAGCTGGTGCCATGCAAACTGCAAGGAATACCCACCATCATATGGGGTTCAAAGGGTATACAAACAGGATGTGGGCTGGAGTAAGAGTAGATTACACATACCAGTTCAAGAATGGAGTGGGCCTTTTCTTACCCAGAACCAGGACTGAAACCTCTAGCTTCTTCACCTGGCTCAACACTGTGCTCAGCTTTGGTCCTTGGATCACCAATGCTTCTACCTCTACCTGAATAATATCATCCCATTCAATAATAATGCCATCTTATCATGTACAAAAGTCAAACACAGCCCAAGTAAGGAGAAAAAAGAAGAATGAAGATGACAGAGCCCCTGAAAAATCTGGGTCCTCTGCCTTGGCTTCTGTGAATTAAAGAAAAAGGAAAAAGGCAACTTGGAGGTTTAAAAATGTTCCCTACCTCGGGTTTGCAGGCCTTGCAAAGGGACCCAAGAGAGTTAGCCAGATAATGAGAAGAAGAACAGTCGGAGCCCTTGTGGGTGGGCGGAATGACATGAAGCAGAGTGAAGAAATCACCGTTGTTAGCCACATGGGTTAGAGCAAACATCATTGCATGCTTGGAATGTGATGTCTGGTCCACCACCACCATGACCCTCTTCCTCACCACCGCCCCATAGTTCTCACTGCCGCCGCAATTGCCATAAATGTTTAGCCCTTCCATCTGCTCCAAATTACTCCTCTTACACCGACCACCACCACCACCACCACAGTACTTCTTGGGGTTTCCTCCCCACCTCCTGGATGCTGATTTCCACACTTCTTCTCTCCCACTCAGCTGCCTCAAAAAAGAGCCAGAACTTGACATTTGCTCTCCCTTTCCCGCTGACAATGTATATAAATGCCTTGCAGGAGGAAAACACAGCTGGATAAACAGTATATTGACCAAAATTAGAAGGGCTGTGATATCAGGTAAGGAGAAACAGAGTTGGTGAGTGCCATGGTGAGTTATGGATATTTAAAACTTGGGAAAAAGGTACACTAATTTATCATGTTTAGTGCAGGCTCAAAGTCACGGGAATCAATGGCTACATTTGGCCTTACTCTCATCACAATTGCCCCCGACAGATTTTTGATGATGAAGCAGGATTCTTTGTACATTGTCTTCAGACTCTTGGCAGATTTCACAAGTCACAGTAAAAGGTTGAATTGAAGTTGATAAGAAATTAATCTCCTAAAGAAAAGTTATGGCACCTAACCATATTGTAAATGTTTAACAAAAAAAAGTTGAATGGTTAGCTGCATCTGGAACTATATAATATGACTTATTATATAGAAAAGAGTCTTTGAATGCAGGATTTTGATATCTAATTGTATTATCAATTTTTTATGGTTGGTTGTAATTTATACATTAAAGTATAAAAATAAAAGTATCAAGCTTTTACCTTGACATAAAATTATTAAAGTTTGTTAGTAAGAAACAAGGATAATTTTTTTTATTTTAGTTACACAATAAAAAGTAATTATTTTTCATATTTTATTTTATTTGTATATTATACTATTAAAATTTATGATATCTTATTTTTTTTAAAAAATAATTATTAAATTATTTAAATAAAAATAATTAAGTTTCATCATTTTTTTTTTGAATTTTTTATCATAAAACGAATTCAAAACTTATTCAAAAAAAAAATTATACACTTTCTCAATGACATTAGTCATCGTGACACAAGTGCAAATGCATTGAGTTTCACCATACCATTTGGAAATCAAGGATCCCATTTTAATAAAGGTGTGTAATTTAAATTTTATCCTTGTATTAAAAAATAAAAATAATTAAGTTTCATCATTTTTTTTTTGAATTTTTTATCATAAAACGAATTCAAAACTTATTCAAAAAAAAAAAAAACTATGCACTTCTTCAATAATATTAGTCATCGTGACGCAAGTGCAAGTGCATTGAGTTTCACCATACCATTTGGAAATCAAGGAACGCATGCATACATATAAATGATTGACACAAATTGAAGTGTCCTAATCCAAATAAAGACCCTCTGCCCCATTCTCCTTCCCATTACACCAACGTTACATCAGTATTTGAGTATTTCACATGGTTATATGATTCTCTTACGTGAGATGACATACTCTTTTTTGGGAAAAATAAAATAAAATAAAATTTTGTTCTTTAGTTTTAGAAAAATAGAGATTTTTTTCAGAAATAACAAGATATTTGTTTTTTTTTATTTACTACATGTTAACTACCAAGCACGTAACATATTGTACGAAACACCAACACAAAATTAAATTAAATGTATGTATGACAAAACTCAGACATAAAATCTAAATACAAATAACCCAAAATTAGAAGAATTATATTAGATACTATAAGAATTTTTCTCGTTGAGACTTTTCTTGGAAAACAAAATCCCAAAGAACCGATTAAAATATGGTTAAGATTAGTTAAAAAATAAATTTCTTGATAAAAAAATTGAAGTATAATATAATTGATTATAATAAAAAATAATTAATTATATTTATAATATAATTAATTACAAATAAGTTATTATACAAATATAATTGATTATATTACTTAAAAACTTAAAAAATATGCACCTAGTCTTTAAAGCATAGTGGCATTAATAACCGGTGCATTTTTTTGACATGCTTCGAAATCTGTTCCTTGCAATTGCAAAATATGTTTAAAAAAAAAACTTAAAAAATATTTTTTAAAATTATAATATAATTAATTTCTTTATTATAATATCCTGCCATACTCTGTGCTATATTAATTTAATTTATAATTATTTATTTTAAATTTTAAATTTTATTAAATTTTAAAATAAAATTCAATAAATGTCAGTATCATTTTTAATAAAAAAATAAAAATCAAATATTTTAATACTTTAAAAAATAAAGTCTCTTATAAAATAATTTAAATATTTTAAATAACATTTTTATATATCAATTTATTAAAAAAATATTTTAATTTTTTATTATCTTTAATAATGTTTTTAATAACAAAAAAAATCTTTATTTTTTATTTTTTATTTAATAATTTAAATTATATAATGTCCATTACTTAAATTGTACACTTTATAATCATTAATAAAAAGCACGTACAATGATATTGGGGGTGGTTTCTGGTCCCCATATTAATAATTGTAAAACTACAGTTGGCCCATAAACTGCCATCTCTTTGTTTAGTTTCTGGAAGAGAAAGCGTATTGGTTTCTTTAGCCTCTTAGTCATCTCATGTCGTCAGATTGTACACAGGCTAACAGTAAAAGGACAGGAATCCTGTTTCCTGAGGCTGGTGAGGCCAGCCTATAAACATTAGGGCATGGTTTTCCATTGTCCTTGAAAACATTGTCTAATTGCTTTCCACGTGCTGGACCAAGAAGCCATTTGTACTTGACTCCTTTGGAGAGAGGGGGTGTTTTGGAGGTAAAAATCTATTTTTTGGTTTTTTATTTTATTAAATTTAAATATTTTAATTTTTTAATTTATATTATAAAATTTTTAACTATTTATTTTATTAAACTTATAAATTTTAATCGAACAGTTTCGATCCAATGGTATTAGATCCTGGGTTAGGACTGTTCATTTTTGATGAGTTGTACGTTCGTACTTCACAGAAACCCTTTCTCCTCTTCCCCAATTGATCCTGTAAATAATTACAAATTGTTTAAAAAAAATTTATAAATTTTAAT